GAACCAAAATGTATCTTAAGTATGGATTGTAACAATTAAGAAAATGTGATGAAAGAGATTTTATCTTAAACACTTGTTCTTCTGAATGAGAATTTCTATATTTAAAATTTTTTAGCATAAGAGAATGTTAGAACCATAAAAGGGATTCCACACACATTTTGTGTATTGCTACTTTATATTGTCTTTCTATTAAAGAGTTATGACTATGCTAAACTTCATATTTTTTCCATTTTGGAAGATCACCCTTATAGAGGGTCTTTTAACATTATGGTATGACCACATAACCATTTGTCATAATATTTTGGAGTATCTCATAGTCATCAATCTTTGAATAAAGTCATTTTTTAAACCTTTGAATTTTTACTTAACAGTAAACTGCTTTCTAAGACACAAATTCAAGTTATTTTGAAAGGCAACTTTGTTGGTTTCAGTAGGAGCATCTTTAATAAGTGTAAATAGTAAAACCACATCATCCTCAAAGATAGAACCCTGGTATTGATTTTAAAAACACTTATATCTCAAATTAATTTCACTTATGAGAAAATTGGAAGAGGCGTTGAATTATAATGATTTGTAAATAAAAGCCGAAAGGAGTGTTTGAACTCTTATGTGAAAATTGATTATTTTATAAACTCATGGGCCATTTTCTTCCACTGCATTATAAGTATTATTGTTTTCATGTAGTGCCACAGTGAGAAGTTTTAAGTCACTTAGAGACATGTCAATTGTTAGAGTTGTGAAGCATCTCTTCGATAGATTTTTGAATTTTCAATGATAAATTGTGTGACATTATGGTAATAGATCCTCACTTGTCTATACATGCATTCATGCCATGGTGATCATATGCGTTCAATTTCATATAGATGATCCACTAGATAGCTTCTACCGGTCTCTAAAAGGCTAGTAGGCTTTTTAGTGAAGTACGCATAAGCCACTTGAAAATATTTTTAGTAGTATATGATACCTTATGTAAAGATTCATATTTATATGTGGATTATGACATGATTATATAATGATAAGGACACCTCATTTTGTGGGCTAGTCACACTAATAGTGACTATCTATGCATGGACAATATGTATGACTTAATGCAATTGGTTGATTATCATGAAATAATTTGTGAGGTTAAATGTGAGAGAAATCCAATAAACTTTGATGAGTCCTACATTATATGAACTATTGTCCTAATTGATTCGAACTTATAATGTGTTTGGTCACTCGGACATGTATAATTGAACCTCTCTTGATCTTGAGATTGGATCTAATTAATAGGTTCATAATGACACCTGTTAGTCATATAATCCGAGTGTAATATCAATAAGAGATTGAATGTATTGAATGGTGAAATGCTTGAAAGTTCAAGCACTACTCCCACACTTTGGTTTTGAATGGATAAAGTACCAGTTCGTAACTAAGGAAACTTTAAGAACAATGAATGAGATTAAAGCATGATTTTAATGAACTTTTGTTCAAATAAAAATTTGTGTTACTTGAGAATTGATATGTACATAGAGTTGTGAACTTTTGAATACATGAATAAATGTTGAGAGAGCAAGTAAGAAGATAGATGTGAACATATATGTCAATCTTTATAAACATAAATTATCATGAATATGTACATAAAAGTACTGTACTCTTTACCAGACTTTATGTTCTCATATTTCTTTTCCTTTAGGGATACCCATTGCATTCTTAGAATATATGATTGTTGAAGATGATGATTCCTTCCGCAATTAGCACCTAGTAGGTTAGCATGTCAAGCATTAGCGTGAGAATGATGTGATATATTGACACATAAACTTTATGATATTTGATTAAATATGTGGATGAAAGAGATCGAACAAGACATTTAAATTGTGATTTGTGGTTTATGTGATATACACCAGACATAGAAAGAGTACTTGACAATTTGCTTTTGCGATTGCATATGTTTGACCACACTTACTTTTATTAGTTCATAACTATTGATTACATTAATAGACCATGTTGATTGACTATGCTTATGGAGTATACAATGGTTTATATTTATGCATGATATGAGATTGAGAAAGTTAACTTGGTTGTTGATACTTGCCCCCTTGCATGATATGAGTGTCGCTTTTCTGGTAGAGAATGGATGTTTTAAATTAAATCATTGTGTATAAGAAGGAGAGAGGGAATCATTCATAAGGCCTCAAAAGGCCAAGTGGAAGAATGTTGACTATGTGGTCTTTCAAGGCCTTAAAGCTAATAGTCTTATTATGTTCAGTAGGAGTTAGAGAGAGACTGAATCTGGGTGCTTGGCACAGTGGGGCCCAGATTCATATACATCGAGTATTTGAGGCTATGAGAGTATACATTTTGAGAGTGTGAAATCTCAGGGAGGTGTGAGATCACCTCCCAATCAGGACTATATTTATTAGAATGCCTCATAATTGATGTGATAAGCCATAGCTCAGATAATCCAATCGAGAATAATAAAACCCGAGTATTTAAAAGAGTATTCGTCCTGTATAGAATGGTCGATTCATGGGACATGAGCACGTATCTTGGCACAAGATCGTTCCATACCATGTGCACCCACAGTCGTATGGGGAAGCCACTCTTCTATAGTGTTATCAGACTTAAAAGAGCTAGTGTGCATGTACTTTGGGATGACCCTTGTATTTGAGTAGAAACATGTCCCATAAGGGTACACTAGTAATCCATTGAACCCTTGGTGGCGGGAAGCTTTGGCTTAGTGACTTTGATGTGACCAATTATGTCTTCCTATTATAAACTATGGAGAATAGGTCTATTGGGTTGGCTTGAGACACCGGTGGAACGTCATTCAGGTTGGCCCAATGGAAGACTCTGATTAGTGTTATAAGTCTAGAGATCCCATTTACCTTTGGCCTATATGAATCTAAAATTGATGAGAAAATATTTTATATTGATAAAAAATTATATAATAATATTGAGAAATTATTTACAGAATTTTTAAAATTTTTGGAGATTTTTTCAGTTTTTTTAAAACAATAAAATATGATTTTCAAATTTGTTTGACATAAATACCAAATAAGGACATTCTATGGGGATGCCACATCACACGCCTACCTCCCCACTCATGCATGACATTATGCTGACATCATATCTACCCACTCATGCATGACATCATGTTGACATCATATTTATGTGGGGACCTATTTGTCATTAATTCTTTTGTTGGTATTATGTTATAACATGTTATCTTGTTATTTAAAGTGTTATATTTATTTATAACTTAAATTTGATTTAAGTCACATGGTTTTTTTGCTCATATATGCCATTTTTTGCATGTGTGAAGTCATGAAATTTTGATAATTAATTTAATTCATATTATTATCTACATATGATTTTGTAGCATGTGAGTATATCTTATGTGACACCACCTTATAGGTTTGACTCATATGAAACTTTAGTGTTGTTAAAATCCTATTGGTAGTGTCATAAGATATATTATTCACATGTGTAGATATCTCATATTACCTTTATGTCTATGTTCTTGTATTTTATTGATTCTCACAAATCATTCAAAACCATGGACATAAGTGTAAACATGAATTTGGATTAAATGGGAAATAAAACATGGTGCCAAGAACTTCAAAGTAAAATGATTATAAACCTAAGTTTTAAGGAATGAAAAGTGTCAAAAGCTCATCCATTGATCTTGGTGATAAGATATGGATGAGTAGTTTGGATAAAAACCTCTCATGTACCATTGATCTAAAGCATCATGGATCAAGATCAAATCCATCTTTATGATCTAAATACAAAAGTAACTTATGAGATCAATTAAAACTCTAACTTGAGTATTCACTTCAAAAAGAGAGAGAGAGAGAGAGCTTGACAAAAATGTGGTTACTCATGATACCATCTTCTTCCTTGAGCTTTCATTTGAAACCCTTCCATAGAGTAGTTCATCATTTATGTGATCAAGCCTATACTATTGCTTCATTAAAGTATTAATTTTTCTTCTAATATTTTTAATTCCTACCTCATTTCCATTATCAAAGATTGTTGTAATTCTTAATTTACAGTAGCTTTTTTCATTTTTTGTAATGAAAACTTGATATTTGAAAAGTCCTAAAACAATAATATAGTCCATACACATAGTATGTGTAGACTAGCTTGCTTCCTTCATGATCTTGAGTAGTTTCAACTTGATTTCTTGATCTTATTTTTCTGAAATTTTTATTGAGAATATACAACCGATGAGAGGTTTATTTCATCATATTTGAGCATAAGAAATAATCCATTGAGTTACCTTTTCAATGTTAAAAAGTTCGTGTGGTCCATTATAGACCACATGGTGTAATTTCACTGTAACTTCCTTATTTTATGTAGTATCTCTCTCAACTTTGAAAGGCTATTTTGATACATGTCTCTCTCATGATTTGATATCCATTAAGTGAAATAAATATGTTCATTTGCTTCCTATTGGATTGTTCTCCTTGAATTATTATTATCACACGTGCCTTACACAATGGGACAAGATTAAATCCTCAAAGGCCCTTTAGTGGCCTTGACACAAAAGGTTCGAACCATGGTTTCCCCATGTATGTTTGTATGTTAATTTGATATATTTACAGCTATTAAATGGATTCATAATTGGTTAAGTTGAGTATGTTTTGTGAATATTGAAATTGTTTTTTAATCTTGCGGCTTGAGCTTTAATGCTATACATTATTGTTTACGCGAATTGAAATCTTATTGAATTATTATGATCAAGTGTATGATATGCATGAGATATTATGATATATGATGAGGATGAAGGATGAAAATAAAATTATCATATAATTTTGACATAATGAAGAATTACGAATGCAAGTCAAATATGTTGTAGAGATGTCAAATATGTTGTAGAGATGTACAATGTGAATATTTGAACAGTGTATGCAGTTTAATTGAATTTTTTAGTAAGGGAATTGTAAATAACCTATTAGGGTTGAATTTTATTATTCAAATGTGTATAAACCATGTTTGTAGGTTGAATATTATGATTTTATATTGAGATATTTATGCATTTAAACCCTTGACTTTTTATATAATGGAAATTTTTTAAAAGATTGTATTTCTATCCCTTTGATCTTATACCACCAAGAGACTCCTCATTAGTGAGGATAATTCTTACACCATTTGATCTGCATGTTCCAATACAACATTTTCAAACCTTGACTCCTCATCAGTGAGGACAATTCTTGTCATCCTGATATAGTTGTGTAATATGCATGTTGCTATGACGATATTGACTTGAGTTTCAAATGGGTAGAGAAATTGCTTCTGTAAGATTGGGGGGCGGGGGTGTCTTCCATAGGCCAAATGTACGTTGAACAGCATTTCGCAGTAAAGAGCGTAGATAATTAAATATTTCTTGTCTTGTCCTGGGATTATTAGCACCTCCATAATCCTGAAGATGAAGATGGTAACAAGTTGCACTATGGTATCATGAACCCACACATATAGCCTGCATCTAGGAGGTAGAATTTACCTGAACAAATACGACCGGCACATAAATGAGTGCATTTTAATAAAATTCATAGTGTTACCATGCATGAAATCATATTCAATATTAAGAAAACACAAATTGAAGTACATCAGGTTTCAACAACCAAAAAAAGGGTATAGTACTGTTAAGAAAACACCAAATTGAGATCCATTCATGAAGGCAATTCACAATGGTGAAGGGTGATAAACACTACCCTTCACTCTATCTGCCACAACTAAAACATGTGAAGCAAATTGCCTCCCTTTGTGACTTTGTGTAATCTAGAGAGATTGTATCTTAACATTGTGATCACAACCGCATCAAATAAACTCACAATGTTAAAATAACAATCATTAATGAGCCCAAGATCATAATCATTAAGGAGTTCAAAATTGATATATTAAAAAATTGATATATAAAATAAGCCATAACCCGTTACATACGTGTTATACATGTATGTGGATGGCACCCCTCTCAATACTCCCAAGCCATTTTAATCATTCTTAATCATAATGTTGCTTTTATCATTCACTTTATTGTTTCTCAAAATATCTTGTTTCATCCAAATCAAATAATCAAAGAAACTTTTAACAATATAAAATGCCTGCAGTTAACCTCAAATCATTTAACAAAGACTAAAATGCATGCATTTAACCTCAAATCATTTAACATTGCATTTTATTCAACCAAATTTCTAAACGAATGTTCAAAATTCACACCGATCCTATTACAATTCCGATACAAATCTAGAACTTGAATGTCACTTGATATCCATATTAAATTGAGTTTAAATGAACCATATTTGCTTCAAAGTTCAAACAGTCTCTTGCACGATGAATATAAGCTAGCAATTAACATCAAACTAGTCAACATTCTAAACAACAATGATCAATGAATAGCCTGGCATCACTTGCAATCATCGATCCAATAGCAGTGAACACAACAAAAATCTAAGATCATCGCTTAATCCACAATCATTTCTAGTGCACATCTGCATGGTTGTCACAGGTGACATCAGAATCCAAAGAGTATACATAAAAAAAGTCCTCAATTCGTCCATATAATGATGTCAGCAACATTACTCAAACTTCCTTTTCCTTATAATTAAAGACAATTATCTACCAACAACAAAAGAACCATAAAGAAAGCAGAATGTAGCATAGCATATTAGCTTGTGCTGATGAGCTGAGAGCATCAAACACTTCAGCACTGGTTGCACTCATACCAATCTAGATAAACATGAATATGGATTTCTCACAATAGAGTTCCATCCCCTTTTCTAGTAAATTCTCAAATAATTATAACATATCTTTATATTCATAACAAAAAGATCAAAATTTCTAACGGAAAATAAGTTTATAAGGGTAGGTCCGGAGAATTACAAATGTTAATAGTGTGGCATCTTGGAAGTGCTATTACTTAGATACCTAAAAAGTGTAGCATCTTGGAAGTTCTATTACTGATGAAATCTACATTCTCAAATATCTCAGTTTCCATATCATCAACAAACAGGAAAAATTCCAGAGGCTTATTGTATGGCGAAGGGGGCGAACACAAGCTCTATTTGGTGAATTGGGATACCGTCTATAGACCAAGTGGCCAACATTGGCGGACACCTTGGGAATAATCAAAAAAAGAAAGATAAATATTAAATGGCAAGCAATGATTAAAAAAATACCACTCTCACAAGAAATCATATATAATGCTAACAGCTAGCTAGGCATGTTCAAAATTCTCTTCCATGGGTGTTGGTGATAATGCTAACAGCTAGAAAGGCATCTAGTCAAGACTAAACACATGTATCTAAACATAAGCATATAAGCTAGCAACGCATGCAGTCAAGATTCTCCTTGCTTCTCAATATTCTTTGTTAGTTCAAAGCTTGTAGGTCAAACTATGCATCTTCTTTTCCATGATGATTAACTGTTTAAGACATGAAGCAATGGGTACTTCAAATGGATGAAATCACATAATTTAGGAAGCTCAAAGCTTCCTAAATTTCAAATGGCTTTGAGAAACTGAGAACTTTAAAATTTTCAAATAATTTAGGAAGCTCTAAGCTTGAAAAGATTATCAACTAATTCAAAAATATCTAAACTTTATTAGATTAGGCAATGCTAAAGGGCAAGAGCACTATTACAATCCGAAGAGCATAAAATAAATCTTCATGTTGCAGAGAGACAAAGTGAGATTGAGAAAATAAGATGGTAACAATGATGCTTTTAAATGCCTTACTAAACCAAGCAAGGTTATGGGTTTTGACTGGATAACAATGATGTTTTTAAATGCTTTTAGAAACTACAAAAAACTCGAGGAATAAAATACTTGAGCCACCATCAAGCCTTTCACTCACTTATGTAAAGTTTTGCACATATTAGAAGGAACAACAACACTAACGATTTCTGACAGTTGCTTCCAAACATTCACGATTTCTGCTCATCATATAAATCAATCCATCTATCAGTTGGTCTTCACATAACACTAATGATGGGACTACACTATCAGTTGGTCCGCACACAACTCTAACCATCAAAAGCTTTAGGGCCCACATCAGATATATTGTGGTCCTAGGAATCTCAATGAATGGACACATACCTTATCCTTAAGCTTAAAAGGCTTGTGTATTAAGCCTGCAAGCACTTTCATCTGAAAAAGCATGTAAAATGTTTCTTGGGTATGGTATTTTTCTTTTCAAGGGAAGCATTTCATAATCCATACCCACATTTTTAAATACCAGCAAGAAATTAAAAAAAAAACAAAAAACAAAAAACAACAAATTTTGGCAGAGCAAATTGTGCTTGTTTGTACAACCAACGCAACAAAATCGGAAACATAAACAGTAAGAAAAAACAAAAAAAGCCAAAAATTTCTACAGAACAAATTGTGCTTGCATGGACAACCCAAACAGCAAAACAGCAACATACTCAGTAAGTAAAACCGGAAAAAACTAAAAAAAAAAAATCAACAAATTTCTTCAGAAAAAAGTGTGTTTGTATGCTCAACCTATACAACAAAACCAACAAGACAAAAAAACACAAAGTAGCACATTTCTACAGAGCAAAAGTGTGCTTGTTTGCGCAAGCCCTACAACAAATTACAAAAACCACAAGAAAAACCAGCAGGAAATAATTAAAAAGAAAAAAAAATAAAACAAAAAAGCCATACCCACATTTTCTTACAGAGCAAATTGTGTTTCTATGCTCAATAAAATAAGAAAATAAAAAAAGGTAACAAATTTCCCTAGGAAAATCATAGTGCAAAAATGTTTGCATTAGTCATTAAAAAAAACGCTATCTAGAGGGAAAATACACGAAAATCACAAAAATAAAATAAATATCCTTGTTGAAGAAGATGAGGTATTTTGTATGGTGGTTCGTATGAGGGAAACCTACCTTGTTTGGGGAAGAATCTTTACAATATGATGAAGAACAAGTAGCGAAAAAAAAAACCGGCAAAGAAACAAAACAGTCTTACCTTGAAGAAGATGAAGCTTGCAAATGGATCCTTGCAGAGGGTTGGGAGAGAGGCAAGACGCAGAGGGTTGCGAGAGAAAGGCAAGGGTTTGTGAGAGGGCTGTGAGAGAGGGGCGAGGGTTTTGTGAGAAGAGGCGAGTGCGAGGGTTCGATGCAGGATTTTTTGTCCGTCATTTTTTTTGGGCCGAAATGATTTTTGCGTCCGCGTCTCGGCAACTTCCTCCGCACCTGGTAGGGTGGGGATTACATTTCACGTAATTGCCTCCTTGTGGTACCAGGTGGGGATTACATTTGACGTAATTGCCTTCTTGTGGTGGTAAAACCATTTCTTAAGGAAAAGGTTTTCATCGACTTTACCCATGAACCAAACATGTATTATGTTTCTTATGCAACCTGTTTCATGAGGCAAGTTTTCACATAAGCCAAATGAGCCCTAAGTGTAACTGAAAATGCAAAATTCCATAATCAAATTACAAAGCTTTGTTATGCATTTGACGTAGTACGTTTAACTAAGATGAAGTTACCTATATCCATGAGAGTCACATGGTTACCCAAGGGTTGAAAACTAGCTTACTCAAAAAAATTTGAATGAAAAAGAATAGAATCTGACAAACTTGTTCCCAAAATTTTTAATGATTCATTCGTTGAACTTGCTATACTTTTCGTGGGGCTGCAACAGGGCTTGAGATATGTGGGTTTTTGAGAGAGAGACGTTGTGGTATGTTGGGGTTGCAACAGGGCCTAGAGAGCGGTGGCTTTTTGACAGAGAGGGAGAGATGTTCTAGAGAGTGGGTTATGCAAGAGGCTTGAGACCTTTGGGTATTTGAGAGAGAGATAGAGAGATGTTAACTGGATATTTAGATAAAAGGAAAAGGGTGTTATTTCATCTTTTGTTTGGGTCAATAATATATGGTCAAAGGGATCCAGAACGTTGGAGGATACAAAAGATTAAGACGTTGCTAAAAATATTTTGAATCATTGACTCTCTTGAGAAACGGGTACCAAAAAACGGGGTGTATGGAGAAAATTTTCGTAATTTGTATATTCAAATTGAATTGCAAGTGTATTGTAAAATTCTAAAGTTGTATTGGCTTGTTTTTAACTACATTGTAGTCCAAGTCCAGAGCATTGATTTCAAGTAGTATCAAAGCTGAGCTCTAAACGAATCCCTTAGCCCTTGAAAATTGACCTAAAATGTAATATAGAAATTGCAGGAGTGCTTGATCATGGAAGCTAAAGTTAAATTACCAAGGTTTTGAGGGATGATAGTTCGAACGGCATAAGGATCATGGTTGGAAATTGCCAGATCTGATCATTGTTTGTCATACATTGGTAGGAGCTTATTTTCTTCATATAATATGATGATCTTTTGTTATATTTTGTGTTTTTTAATTTAGTTTAACGTGGAAAATGTCTCATGGCCAAGTTATTCCTAATTTGAAAGTTATTGACAATTCTTTGGAGTAAGCCAGATTTGTGTACGATTTGTTCAAGAACTTTATGCTTTTGTACGTGGTGGTTTTGAGAGTTAGGGCCGAGTTTTTATTTCGTGGAATTGTGTCTAATTTCATCTAAATAAAGGATCATGATAAAATTCCTCATATTTTGAAAGATATGATCATTTTATCAGAGATATGTCAACCAATAATTTTTACTACGTAGTGCAAAACTAACCCTTTTAGACACAAGTTGTTCGTGTCCTTTTGATCGGGAATTATCTACTAAACCCTAAATGTAATTTTACTTATTTTGAGTCTAATTTTAATTAAGAATAAGTCGCATGAGTAAATATTGAATAGTTTTAAAGTTATGGCCCTAAGATTAAATAGTTGTCAATTTTAAAAACCAAAAAACCTGCATAAGCAACATCTTAAGTGTAAGTAGGATATGGGTATCACACACTCTAGTGGAATCCAACTATGAAGCATCAGTTGTTAGATGTTTTGAGGCTTCATAGAGTGTATTAGATTGGTGAGAGGGTTGAATAAATTCCATTGGATCAAGAGTACAAGGTTTGATACCAAAATTCGAGTCTTGGTCAAGATCTTGGTTATATCCAGAAAATGTTAGATGATGTTCTCAATAAGGCCAAAGAAACTCAAAGATGAATTGGATCATGAGCACAGTTATGAATAAGGAAAGAAAAGATGAAAGGAAATAACAGATCGAGAGCAAAGGCTTAGCTCTCCACAAGATGGTTGTTAAATGACCGCAAGGTATATTTATTTACCTTACTTGAGATGTTATATGTTGATTATTACTTGGAAAGCAAGGACTAGTCACATAAGCTGTAACTTAAAAATATCAATACGCTCATAATGTGATATTTAAGAACTTGTGTAATACTCTTTGTATAAGATGATGAGACAAAGGATAAGTGTCTTGATTTTAGATTTTTTATATGTGATTCAAGTACTAAGCATTGAATATGGAAAATTCAAATAAATAGCACGTGTGAACCATTGAATTACGTGAATATTATATGAAATGTGGAACAGTTAATCTTTATGGGCTATTTGCCACATGTGATTGACTGGTCCTTATGGCGATTAGTGACTCTTATCTTGTCCTTTTTATGCTTTCCAAAATGTTAAGAAAATGAAGTCAAATATTGTGGTCATATTATTTATAATTTATGATGCTAAGGTCCCAGCACAATGTATATACGTGTATAAGATTTATTTGAGGATTGTGGTCTCTTGTAATCTTTTTAAGTCCCATGCCATGTATATGTCTTGTAAACAAATTATGTACTACGTATTTGGTCAATAGATCTCATACACATACATGTGTAGTTTGATGATCTCCTTTTGTAACTTGTTTTGCTCATATGCAAGGGATTTCAGTTGTGTTGTATCTTCTCAATTTAATGTATTTGAAATTCAATAGTTTATTGTTATAACACTTACCTTTCTACAATTTTTATTTTTGATTTGTAATTGCAAGTGTTTGTAAAATTTTAAAGTTGTATTGGCTTGTTTTCAACTAAATTATAGTCCAAATCAAGAGCAATAGTATATTATACACTGACAGAACCACTAAGAAAGAATGATTTTTGTGTTTCATGCACTAACAAGACCAATTATCAAATCTGAATGCAGATTTCTACCACTACGGCTCTAATACCATTCCTGGAATCTAGGGGGGATCTGTTCCAAAAACAAACAAATCAAATAGAAATCACATACCTTTTTCTATATTTGATTCTTCCCATACAGATAATGCAATGCTTCCATTCCTTTTTGTGTGCGTTTCCTTTGATTTAAGAGTTTGATGCTTGCATTCATAGACTGACTACTGATACTAGAATTGGCAATAATATTTACAAAATTCAAGTCCCTACAAGCCGTTTGATATTGGTGGCTCGAAAGTGGAAGAGGGTGACTTGTTGACCAAGTCACCATCCCATACAAATAGGATCTCATATATGGTTTTGATATGATAATATATTCCTCTTATCTCTTTCCAAAAAGGGAGATTGAGATGAACCTTTTTTTTAAAACATTATGGGATATACTTCTAAATATGGTTCTTATCTCTTTGAGTTCACACAAATAGAAATCACGTGAGACGCTATGTAGCTTTTGGTTGGTTTAATTAAGGCCACCTCAATTGGGTCATTTTAGGGCACACATTTCTTGGGCCACTTTGGGCGGGTTCTTCTTGGTGTATCAGAAATACATGATGCCTTCTTTAGCATAAAAGAAGAAGAAGAAAGATAAAGTTGTCTTTCTCATAGAGAGAAGAAGAAGAGAGAAAGTTGTCATCATATTAGAGAGTGAAGAAGAAGAGAGAGAGTTACCCTTCTTATTAGAGAGAAAAAGATGAAAGAGAATCAACCATCCTCGTCTTAAGCTTTTTCTTTGTAGAGAGAGAAAAAAGAGAGAGGGAAAAAGAGAAGTTCTCTTTTAGAGCGAGAAAACCTCTAGAAAAAAGAAGTCTTTGGGAAAAAAAAAACTCAGAGAATGAAATACTAGAGAGAAGTCTCTAAATGAAATCGGTGATCCCAATAAAGTTTGTTTTTTGGAAGACTATTGTAATATTTGAGTTAATAATGGATTTGTCTCTTTCTCCTGTGGATGTAGCCCAAAATGGTAAACCATGTAAATCCAGTGCCAATAAGATGTATTTCATTATTTGCTTTAGTTGCATGATTTCCCACTTATACACACATACATCGATTTTGACATATTTTAGTGTCCCATATAGCATGGTTCTACAATGCATAACCGCATTTGTGCGAGAGGGCTCGACTAGGTGAGCCCGAAAGAAAGATCTTGCTAGTGTAGGGTGGTAATTGGGACTATTTTTCTAGAGAGAGAAAATTAGCTTGGGGAGGAAGTGAGAAAAACAAAAAAGAGGGGGGAGAGAGAGAAAGAGAGCCATGTAATGAGTGGATTGAGATTCTTAATCTATCTCAAGCCCAGTTTTATGTAAGTGGATCCTCTTTTCCAGGGTTATCAAAAAGTCTCCAAAAATATTTTGGATTTTGTGATAAGTCAAAATATTTTTCTAATAAACCACTATAAATTTGTATCTAAAATCCATTTGCAAGATAGATCTTTTAAAGAGTGAACTCCTTGAAGCCTAACCTTATTAATAAAATAGCAAACCTATGGGAACCATACTAATCTTCTTTGTATCGCTCCAATTTTATCACATGTCTCTAAAGAGAACCTTTATCTCGAGAATAATGTGACCCACCAATATTTTTCCCTCACGAGCTACACTTTGTTTAGGGTCTACATAAAAACCAAAAAGAAAAATTGTTTCATAAAAACTTTTTGACAATGTTTCAATATTGTGGTCGCTACGGGGAAGGATCCTACTCAATCGAATGAAAAATGTGTTTATTTCTTTTCATGCCTCTCTCTCTATCTCTCTCGTGTTGATTTCCCTTCTCCTTTTCTTTCTCTCTCTAAATTTTTGCTTTTACCAAGAGGTCAATGCACTGAAAGGTGCCTCCTTGTTAAAGCATTACATGGGTTGCTTGAAAGTCTGAAAGTATATTCGCTTCCCATTGGACCTTGCCAAGAAGGAAGTGGAAAGAGGCAGCCATATTTTGGGTCTAAAGGGAAGCATGTTAGTTGTTGCTCATTGGACCACTTAATATATACACCCTCACTCATACATGTGTGGCTCACTTGTGACCTTGGGTAAACCAAGTCTATGGGAACTTTCCTAGGCGTCATCACTATGGTTGATTTCAGCATCGCTTTTAACTTTCTTTTATCCATTTTTAAATTTAGTAATGTTTTATTTTTTATAACTTTATTTTAGTAAAATCGAAAAAAAACCCAATCGAAAAAAAACCCTTAACTTTTCAAAACTTCGCCTAAACCATTTCTCACAAATTTCGGTTTTTTTTTTTACCAAAATGACTTTCACGGTAGTCTTTTTACCGTAATACATTTTAAGCTTAATGTAATTAAAACACCGTAAACAATTCAAAGAGTATTACGGTAATAGTTTGAATTATTATTACAGTAATTTAATTACCGTAATTTGTGGGGAAGTCTTTATGGTATTCTTATTACTGTAATACTTTCCTGGTCAATTCCAAACCCCTATTCATTGAA